AAAATAAAATAGCAAATCGAAAATAATTCTCGAGCGCATTGAATATTGGAACGTGGTGATGTTTATGTTTTAAAAATTTATGTGTGATGTGATATGTTTTTTTGGGCAGGTGTGGTTATATTTTGTTGTTATTTAAAGGTGTTTATGTTTGTTATTTAAAGGTGTTTATGTTTGTTCGTTTAAGCTTGTTGGATCAATGTGTTTCCACGCTCTTACTGTCCTAATTACAAATCTGTAACACATCACACAACAGTCATCTTTTGTGTAGGTTTGCAATTTATTTACCAACGAAGCGTTAAAACAATAAGACCTCCACCATCCATACAGAATGGAGGGGAAGGAAATTATTTTATTTTGGTACACATCGATCTTTCTACTGCGCCATCATTCTGCGGCATTTAATCGTTCGGAGAGCTAGAGACAGGTGAATGTTGTTGCTAGGCGACTCATCCGCAAACGTGTGCGTTTCTTTGTTTGTTCATATGCTTGTTGAGAAAGTTTGTTTTAGGTCACCCAAATAAGAATTAGTTGAACAATTTGTTTGTTTTGTTGAAATTAGTTTGACTGCTTAACAGTTTGATTCATAATCTTTTGATTATCTGCCTGTTTTCGTGTTGAGACAACCATCATCATTTAAACGAGACTTTCATAAATAAAATCCAAAAAGAATCAACCAAATGTTCGTGCCGGTAAGTGTCAGCAGTACCAAATCCATCATAAAAAACAAGTCTCGATATTTTGTTGTTCAAGTGTTCATTAAGGTCTTGCTCCTTAACAAAGATATTTTGTTGTCCGAACTGAAATTAATTAATTAATTCTTCCAAATGAAATAACAACCACCAATCAGCCACTCTTAACAATGTGACCATGCATCCGTAACTCCAACTTTTCCATCAAATTGTCAAAATTGAGCAGCTGAACTACAAACTGGTCGGCACTGATCTGACCTCGTGTCCTTAGAAAAGAAACTTGCATGTAACGCGATTCCTGTGTATGTGTACGTGTGGATGTTACATTGATGTGTTTATGTATGTCGTCTGGTATGGATGTTACATAAACAAAGTGTGCAGGTACGTCGTGTTTGTGTGTGTGTATGTGTGTGTGTGTGTGTGTGTGGACGCCACAACCTTTGCGGCACATGTTTAGTTTAATTGTAACCAAGTAAATACAAAACGATGTACAGGCAGCTCTGCGCACACTTTCGCAGTATAAAAAAAACTAAATTACATAAAATTATAAAGAATAACTTTAATTTATAAATTTAATTTTTCATTCGTATAGGGTCTGTTATAAATTTTCAGTTGTTATAATCTTGTAAACGTCATAATCATTTCCACATGGTAGTGGTATTTTACCTTGCGTTTCTTCAAATAAATTACATAATATTTTCATGTACATGCGACATATTTGGCGAGCTGTTAGTAATCACCCACCTTGTACCCTACCGTACACATGCAAGCACACCCTTTTCAACTATAATTTCTATCTGAAAACATTAATTATATATATTGTAATATTAGTTACAATATTGATATTAATATGTAATAAATAATATATATTATAATTAATATTATAAGATTTATAATTATATTACAATATCAGTAATAATATTAATCTTATTTCCAATTGCGTACAACAACTTTATGTTCATTCGTCGATTTTCTGTAATGTTATATTCTGAATTATTGATTGAGAGTTCTTATTTATAAGTTTTTGAAATAATTTTATTTCGCTTTTATTCTTCTGCATCTTATTGTTTATTTTACAAGAAAAGATTTACAGTTTGATCATTTACTACGAGAACTGACTGAAAATTTTTTAATATTAAATGGTAATGAAAATTTTAGCAATTTTTAACGCTGAATTTGTTGTCGTGGAGCGTCTATGAAAACATTTCCATTTAACTGAGATATAACATCAAGGATATGTTATCAATCAGCCTATGAAATGAAAGATGCCGAGTATAATGTTTTTTTTGGATGTGTTTAATTGTAGTCACCACACTTGCACACGTACACAGAACTGAGACACTTGCTCGTCAGTCAATTACTTAGATTATGAATTCGTGGTTATTACACTGGCAATGATAATGAATCAGTGAATCAATTAATTAATTAATTAACTAATTAATTAATTAAGATATAATAATATTTTTTTCACGTCTTGATCATTCTAATAAACAGTTAATTGTTTACTACCTTAATTAGGCTTTTTATCAACAGTTGTGTTGTTATGTAGTAATTGCTGTAATCTGCATGTTTATGTTGGAAACGAAAGCGGCCGTTTCAGCTGCAAATGAGTATGTGCGTGTGTGTTTTGTGCCTGTTTGTGTGTGTGTGTGTATATATATATATATATGTTTGTGAAAATTATTATTAATTACAAGTGTTGTAAAATGTCTTTGTTGATAGTTGGAGGTTATGAAAAGTTTTCTAGTTGTTGCTGGTTTTTTAAGTATGAAATATTTGCCAGCAGCCTAGACAAGTTGAAAATGTATATTCGACTGGTTTCGACAAACTTCCTCTTGCAAATATACTACAAATGATTGATTTGCTGATAGTTTATATATGGGATACATGGCCACCATATTTTGTTACTTTCGGCATAATGATTTTATCATGAAGCATAACAGTGTACTGGCCACTTCCTCTATGCTGTAAGTTCTATGCTGACCTCTATGCTGACCTCCACTGAATTTGACTCGCTACGCAACATACACTTCATTAATTGTTAAAAAACAAGTTCTTTGTAACTGATTAAAAGAATTTAATCGAAGAGTTATGTAACCAGCATTGTCCAATCCACAGTTAACATTAACTTTTATAGAAACTTTCATCAAAGTTTTTATTGATGGCAAACACATTCAATTAACTTTCTGTATAAAGAGTAAATTAAATAGGCCTATACTAATAATTGTGAAGAATAATTTCTCCCATGCTTGCTAAGACCAATAAATTTTATTTGACCAATAATATATTTTAATTGATAAAGTTTTACCCCTTGATGATGCAATGTTAATTTATAATTTTCACTGATCAGCATTAAGCGTGCAACTGACAGACATTTTAGGGGAATGTGAGTTCTATTGCGTTATAGCTTTCTCTATTTATACAGTCTCACCTGGTTCGAAATCACCTGTGCTCCTAACTTGCGTGCCGAATTTTGTAGTAAGTTCCCTACAAATTCTGATAAATTTAATTTATACGGTTTTCTAATTTTCATATTTTTAAAAGTATTTTAAATAATTTTTTTTATTTGTTTCACAAATCAACCTTTTTAAATACTTTTTGAATCATTATTTTTCATGTCTGATTTCTTTGGTAATAATTTTTTAAATTTTTTTAGCTATCACCGACATGACAATTATTATTTGTTGTTACACTACTTTATGTTGTTGTTAGCACTTTTTTGTCCCTTGCTTGTGCTAATGTTGTTGTTAAAGTTGTGTTAATGTTGAAGTGTTAATGTTGTGGTGATAATGTTGTTGTATTAATGTGATGCATTTGTTATACTTTTATAAAGTGATAAGTAAAGTTTTTTTAATGATATGTTAATGTTTTAATGTTGTGTTGTGTTGTAAATGTTTAAATGTTAAAACTGATGTTCATGAGTATTTGTTTTATTTAAATTTAATTTCGTAAAATCAAATCAAATGATTGGTATTGATCTTTAGAACATGTTGACGCTGTGAGGTAATATTGCATTGTGATGGAGTTCTGCCATAGTCTCGTAGATCCTGCGTTCCACATACAACATGTATTCATTAAATTCGTAGAATTTGACTGCTGAAGTGTTCTGTTGAGTTCTGTTCCATCGATTTTGTTATTTCACCATATTGATTCTAAATTCATTTCCTATTCAATCATATCTGAGATTGTGTTGATGATGTCGTTTGATGTTTAACCGCTATCAATATTCATGACACGAATGTTCGTAATACACCGTGGCTGACTGACAAAGCATTGATGACAACTTAACTGTTGTTGGGTCATACAGCACTAAAAATTATACTTGAAATCAAAAAGTTTAGTTTCAATGTCAGCTGGCTCAACAAACTTGACACGTGATACATTTTAATTTAGTTTATCTACAAAGTGGTAAATATGTTATTATTTAATTATTCAATAAGCATAAAAACGTGAATACAAACAAACAATAAACAAACAATTTAACAAATAAACAATTAAACAAAAAAAAACAAACAAAAAACATACATACACAGAGGTTGCACAGATGTTCTCTGTTGTTTCCTCATCGCAGTCTTCTTCGTCGCTTTCATTGCTGTAGGGATATACGGTTGGTTGGCTGGCTGGTTTGTTGGTCGTTTGGTTGGTCGGTCGGTTGGTTTGTTGGTCGGTCGGTTGGTTGGCTGGTTAATGAACTTTATTTACTAACATCAATGATGTTGCATATTGTTATTGTAATACGTTATTTTCTACGGAATAATTATTTGGTGACGATAACAATAATAATAAAAATACAAAATTATTTTCATCGATTGTATTTATGCAGCCAATGTTGTGACAATGACGCGGGAGCTAGTTTGACGATTTCAGTAATTAGGTTTTCAGGTATGACGAACTTGTGTTGCAGTCCCCTGGTTCGAATGCAGGAAGATTTTCATTCGTCCCCTCATTCAATATTTTTATATTAAACAGATTAGGTGCCAATTTTTTTCAGTTAGCTAAATGCAGTTTCTATAAAGTTTTGATAGAAACGTCGCCAAATTTAAATTTGGCTTAAATTAAACTTAGACGTTTTTAAAATACCACAGTATTGTTTTACAGATGTCCGAGTTTTTTACTTAGTTACGAAAGAGTTTGAGTTTCCGTCCGTTCGATTGTTCGTAACCTTATTCAAATATAAAAATTGTTTGTTCATGAGTTATTTAGCACGCAACCTTCTTACGCATAATTTAGATTTGTCAAATAATGACAGAAACATAGATTTATATTTAATTAACTTATTACAATCGCAATGGATATTAAATTAAACACGCAGCATTTGCAATGGGCGATCCGCGCATGCTCATCTACCCGATTGATGGCGATGGCAAGTTGTGTGGAGTTGCTGAGAACAGGTTTCTTCCACGTCCTGAATTATAAAATTATGATTATCTGGAAATTAAGTTTTTGATCGTTTTGAGATAATTTATTAACGTGTTCCTCTTTTCCATGCCTGATGAATTCTTCTCCGTTTCTTTTATTTATTTATGTTTGAAGATTCAGCTAATTTTTCTATTTATTTCTATAATTTCAAAAACCCTATAGAACTTTCTTCACAGTTTTTAAAATCGTACAAGAAAAAAAAATTATGATTTTTTAACTTTATTTCATTTGGTGCGTAACGTTGTTTTTTTTTTTGTTGTAATAAAAAATTGAACTGAACTTTTTGAAACAACCCTTTCGACAGCGGCAAACCTCTCCTCTTTTATTTTGACTTCCTCAAGTGCATATCCTTCTCATCGACGCCTGTCAACGTTCTCAAAATGTGCTCTGGCTCTCCCCAGGTTCTTCATTCTTTTTGAACCTTTGCTGAATAATATTTTATATTTTCATTTACATTTATTATAATTAAGATCCAACAATTCTCTGATGGATGTTTTAAATATTTTCAAAATATTGTAAAATATTTCAGAATGATCGTCTTCATTTTTTTTTATTAAAACGTGGAATGACCTATTAAGACAGCAACAACACTTTTTTATTCAATGAGACGACAAATGTCTGCCTCGAGTCTACTTTGAAATTTTCTTATAAATTGGCTTCAAACATTCTAAAAAACTGCCGAAAAATACATAATTTCAAGAACATAATTAATTAATTAAGAGATTTCAAAAAAGTCTAAGTTCAGTTTGATAGCATGCAACTTTCGAAAAAATCTCGCTCGAAATTTCAAATGTTATCTTCGATGAGTAGAACTTAGAAAAAATTTGAACGAACAGATCTGCGTGAAAGAATGTCCCTCTACGTTTTGGAACGCTTGGACAGGTGATGTCAAGGATGCCATATGTAAAAGTGGAATCAGTTTAAACAACGACAGATCGGCCCTGGTTACTTATCGCAACTTTCTTTGTTGTTCACAAAGTTTTAATGATTAAACTTAGTTATTTCATCGTTTATTAAATTGTGTTGAAATGTTTTTAAAGAGTTATATTTTGTGGTGATCAATTCTTTAAGAATTCATTTTATTTCCATAATACCTTCATTTATTAAAATAATTTTACAGCAAAATTATATTAACAAAGGCCTGTGCGCTCCGTACTACATGCCAACCAAACCACGTTCGTTCGAATTGAAATTTTATTTCTCTATAATTAAGTAATAATTGAATCTTTCACATTAGATTGAACGATTTAAAAATTGAACGTTCGCTTGAAGTTGTTTGTTTCATGTGATAACCACTGACCAATAGTCGTGTACAGGTGCCTGCCGCCCGTCCTGAACATTGTTGATGGCATCGTACGAAACAACGCCAGCGAACCTCTGGTGGATTCAAACAACGTATCAATCAAAGGTGGCGATCTATCGAGTGGCGTCAAGTAGGTTGATGTAACTCCTCCCATCCTCTGCCTTGTTTTCGTTGTTGCTTGTCACTACTCCTCATGAACGTCATGTGGTTGAACTTGCTCTGTGCCTGCCAATTACATTTTGTTCGATTTCAGAGAGAAAAAAGCAAAATTAAAAATAGTTACAAAATATCGTTACTATTTTAATAATTTCTATGATCTATAATTTCAGCGTAGCCAGAGAGCTGATCAAACTGCAAGGTTACGGAGTGAAAATATTGTCCGACGTTACGACAACTTGGTGGCTCATACTTCTGTAAGTTTTTTATTTTAAACTTGTTTGATTTTTTCTGTGCACTCATGATATTTGTACTACTAAACCAAACGAAACTGGTTGCACAACGAACGCGAATGAAGTAAACTCCGACCCGCTAATATCAAATAGCAGCATCTCGAGTCTGAACCTCACATTCACCGATCGATTCATGTGCTGCACAATTTTCTTCTCGTCAAAATGTATTTAGCGATAAAAACGAATCAATGGAATTAGATTAATGCTGGTTGTACAACATTAGAGCAGTTGAAATGAGACAGGATTGATTGAATTCGTGAGATACAAAAATTTATTCCCCAGTTCGATGTAGCGGACATTTTCGTCATTAATAGAAGTTCACATCACATTATCATACGACCTGTTAAATTTTCTTGTGACGTTTCATTCTTGCAGCTGTTCACATTCCTTATAAGCAAGATTCTTTATAACTTTTGTCATTATATAGTCATTGTCGACTTGAACAACAGTATTATTATCAAAGTTTTTTTTATTTAATTGATAAATAAAAATTTATATTTTGGGCACATTGTATTCAATTCATATTTGAACGAATTGTGCAGTTTTGTGTTGTTGGCGATGGCTTTGTCGTTGGTCTGGATTGTGTTGATGAGGTGGATTGCAGGGGTCATCATCTGGCTCTCCATCGTCATCTTCATCGCATTCTTCGTCGCTGGTAAACAACCTCATTTTGAAATTACTCAAATAATTTAACGTCAAAATTTTATTTTATACAATTTTATATAATTTTTGGTGGTTTAGCAATTAGACGTGTTGCAATTACCTGTTTTCAGCAGTTTATTTTGATTTAAAACATTTCATAATTTCACATAACACCTCATAACGTTCTAGATAGACTTCTCATTCTGACTAGCATTCACGCTTTAAATAAATGTACAACAATTTTAATTACACTTGTAGCATCTTGTACGTTCACCATGTTGTCATCCGACCATTAATTTCAATTCATTTGATATAACTTCAGTGATTTGGTACAGCTTTCAAACGTACGTGGATCTTAAAAATCGAAACAGCACCAACACGTTCATCCTCACCACTGACATGCAATACTATGCCAATCTCAAAGAAACCTGGCTGGCTGTCGGTCTGTCCTACAATCATTCTTCCTACTTTTGTGTTTTCATACTTTTCTGTAGCTTTTAATTGATACTTTTACAAAATTTATGTAAACTTTGATATGTATTAATTATATTTTAAAATTTTTGTTTATTGAAATAGACAAGTTTAATTTTATTCGTTATTTTGAGGCTCTCATTTCATTGAAAATATTAGCACACAATTAGCAATATAAGAAATGAGTTGAATGTATGTTGAGTTGATTTGTTATTTTTGCACGAACCTCTGGCAGGCATCATCGCTTGCATCCTGCTCTTCATCGTCCTTCTCGTCCTCCTCTTCCTAATCAAGAGAATCAGAATTGCCATCGCCCTCATCAAAGAAGCCAGCAAGTGGGGAATATTTAACAATTGTGCTAATTCGAGATGATATTTGATATTCAAAAATTAAAAAATGACAATTAGATTAATTGATGCTTGACATAAACTTCATTTGAGAAACGAATTTCGAAACACAGAGCGATCTCGAACATGATGTTCACGTTGTTGTGGCCGCTCATCCCCTTCCTCATGCAGATCATCGTTCTCGTGTACTGGGGGGGCTCAGCCATCTGCCTGGCTGCCGTCACGCGGACGCAGAAGTGCACGTTGGATGAGGTCAACAAGACGGAGTATGATGATCTCAGATGCAAGATGAGGTCCTTCCTGCAGAACATCGAATGTCCCGCGGTTCGTTGACCTCTATAACTTTTTTAAAAATTTGGTTCGTGTCATTTTTTTTACAACTAACATTAAACGCAAGTTATATATAAGAATACTACGTCATATTTGACGATATCTATTAAGAATGACGATTAAAAACTCGTGTATGTCCGAAGCAGAATTTCACCATCAGCCATGAAGTGTGGTGACAAAATGATAAAAATGCTTCAAACAGTTTTTTACTTCTTATAATTTTTAAAAATTAATTAATTCCTCACTGAAATTTTGCTGTACTATGCCCTAATTTTTATGGTGACCCTCACACAAACTTACACAAACAAGCGGATGATTTAAAATGCTTGCCAGGAGAATGTTTATTTAATTTGATTAAATTTTAACAATTTTACTTCAGAAATGTTTGCAAAACAGTTGTCACACATAACGTTGAAACTAACTCATTAATTAACAGAATGAAACTGGCTTCTGTGATAACCTGGTCAACGGGATTAAAGACGAGTGAGACAACGATCGTTTGCAAATTGCATTTTTAAAGATATTCTATTTTTAATTCGCGTATTAACACCTCAAACAATTTTTCTAATTTCAAACAGCCGTTACACGTTGGCTCTGCAAGCCTTCCAACTCTTCGTCTGGTTCTGGCTTCTGAACTTCATCATTGCTCTCAGCCAAGTAACGCTGGCAGGTGCATTTGCATCATATTACTGGACCTTTGATAAGAAGAATGATCTGCCGATGTTCCCTGTTACTGGGGCCTTCTATCGATCTGTTAGGTGAGCTGCTCTTCAGTTTTATCAAATAGGAACAGAAAATGAAGTATTCAGTGATAATACTAGTAAATGATGTTTAAGTAATCATGTTGTTTGTCATATTTGAGACAGAATTTTTTCGATCACTAACCCCTCATTGAAAGCACGAGCAACACTTCCTCGCAGGTATCACATGGGCTCGATGGCGTTCGGATCTCTACTCATAGCCATCGTCCAAATTATTGTCGTCATTTTAGAATATTTAGACCACAAGCTCAAGGGCAGGTCCCATATTGTAGCAAGATTTGTTCTTAAGTGAGCCATTCAATACATTTACTCACCATCAATTTGTATTTTAATTTGATGTCTTGGTGGTATCAATGCTTGCATGCATATTCTTCGGTTTGTGGATGGTTTATAGTTTTTGCCTTGTTATCAAGTGTTCCGCTTGTAACAGAACAATATCGAAAGAAAAAATCTGTTCAAGTTTATTTGTATTTTTGATATAAAGTGAGGAAATGCATTTATTTTGGTTTGTAAAATAATCAAGATAAAATAAAATTTAAAAAACATTGGAGATATAAAAAATTAAAACAACTTTGGAGTGTTATTAATTCCACGAACATGTTTCATGCTGCGTTTTTCCACAGGTGTTGCATATGTTGTTTCTGGTGTCTTGAAAAGTTCCTCAAATTTCTCAACAAAAATGCCTACATTATGGTAACGTTTTCACGTCACTTATGTTCTGCTGTTTGTTGTATCTTGCGCTGTGTTATAAACCTACATTTGCTGCTCATAACGTGTAAGCAAGTTAAGTTCATTGAAATGTACAGTATTAAGCCTGTATAAAGAGTTATTTGCTCTGCCAAATATAATTTTCTTGCATGCCTGGTAACTTTAATTTTTTTTATTTTTATTAGCCATTAGCCATCTAAAAGTGCTTGTGAATGGAAACAATCAATCGCATAAATAAATGTAATTTTACTATGAAATCCTCAAACAATCTTTTTATAAGCCATAGCCATTCATACAAGATACATGTATGCAGTTATCTAGTCCTATCAAATTTTGCACTATCTTAAACAAATGTTAAGACTTAAGACAACAAATAAATTATTCAAATAATTAAAATTCACACGACGATAACGAATTATTTCACACTGCAGATAGCAATTCACGGCAAAAATTTCTGTTCATCGGCCTTTAGAGCCTTCCGCTTGATCATGGCCAACGCCATAAGGTTTCTCTTTACATTTCTCTTTTATTTTTTTAAGAATATTAATTAATTAAAATATAAATTTGAGACTTTTCTTACATTAATAAATTTTGTTATAATTTAAAAATTGTGGAGAGATTGTCTGGTGCAAAAATGTGAACGAACGATTTTTTCAGAGTGTTTGTGGTGGATAAATTGACGGATGTTCTCCTACTCGTCAACAAACTTTTCATTGTTGGATCAGTTGGTTAGTACACTGCATTTTTTATTTTTGCAAGCATTTACTTATCAATAATCTTTTTAACAAATTCATAACGGGATGATGCTATTAACGCTTGCACTAATTGCATGGTTCCACCTAATTTTTAATCATCACTGAGGCATGCTATTATTAGTGTATATGGTAAAAATAGTAATGATAATTATTTTGGGTGAATTGGGAAGATTAGCTTACAAAGTAATTATATTTTTAAATTAATTAATTAATTAGTTTGAGACTTTGTGAAATTTGATTTGAAATTTGTGAATTAATTATAATTAATTGCTAATTATATGATTCGCAGAACGTAATTTAATGCGATAGAATGTTCCGATGAAAATTAGATTCTGTGATCACGCAACCACATTGTTTTTTAAACACTTTTTTATAATTTATGGTTAAAAATTTCACCACTTAATATTTTGAATTTGATTTTTAAGAAACTCGGTAACAATATTTGCTGATTAACTGATTGTTTTAGTTAAAAAGAAAATTTAATTTATTCATATTTTCATTAATTTATTTCTTGTCCACTAGGTTTGTTTGTATAAATACTAATTAAATTAAATTTTGTTCGACAGGTTTGTTCGCATTTTTCACTTTCTCCAGACGCATTCCAGGCAGCGAAAAATTGTTCCCGGACAGCGAACTCAACTACTACCTGATACCAATTTTGGTAGGTTCAACTAATTTGTCGTTGAGCTTGAAGTGATGGCCTAGTGGTTAAGGTCGCCTGCTGCTGTTTAGCTATGAGCGGGTTCGAATATGACACAAAGATGCCTCGTTTAGATGCCTATCCAAATACGATGTTTGTCGCGTGTGGTTGATCCCTCTCTACCCGGGCAAACCATTAATAGACATTTTATCTCCGTGTACACAAAATTTAGAAAAAATTAAAAAAAAAATTTAAAGTGCAACAATTCACGTACATCACACACTGTCAGAGAAAGAGTCAACCTAATTTTATAGAGATATATAAATTCTAGTTAGGATTAAATTATTTATTTATTCCATTTTGTTATTCATCAAATTGGAAAATAGACCTAACGCAAACAGACAGCGAATCAAAATTGTTTGCACATCAAAAAACCGATGCATTAAAATTTTGCAATGTCAACTTTCCAGATCGTGGTGTGCTGTGCGTACATTGTTGCCTCGTTGTTCTTCGGTGTGTACGACATGGGGGTGGATACGCTCTTCCTCTGCTTCCGTGAGCACTTTCTTTCCTGTTTCCATTTCATTTTTTTTATTTAATTCATTATTTAATTCCCATTATAATTTTATTTCATCAATGACCGGGACGTCAATTGGGCCATTGTTTCGAATTTGTTTCAAATTTGTTTTCTAAAGAGACACTCATCAGAGAACCTCATGGTGAACATTGAGAAAGCAGGCAGATCACCATCTATCTATCTATCTACAAAATCTAACTCTATCAACATGTCTTATTCTTTCGAAGCTGCTCAAAAGCTACTGGCTGATGGAAGAATTTGGTTTGCAGGCGGGTAAAATGGTGGTAATGTGAAATTAAGAATGGAAAAAACTATGGTGATGGCAGCTTATTATGAACAGTAGAGTTACAAGATAGACAACGATTCAAGATTGAAATGTTTTGGAGAATGAAAATGTAAACCTATGTTGAATTGTTGCCAGCATCTGAGCATTATATTTTGTTATGATGGATAAGTTAACCAAAATTTGCACATGCACATTCACGCACAGAACACATATACACAAAAATATGCACAGGTGAATGTACTCACGCACGCACACCGACCACACAAACAGATACACACATGCACAGCACACACACTAACACGTACATACCTTTACTATCTTTACCTTAGTTGAAGATCTCGAACGGAATGATGGCAGCGAGGCCAAACCATACTTCATGTGCCAAAGTCTGATGCAAATTTTGGGCAAGAAGAACAAGGAGGTAGCAGCGGTTAAGAAGGAAGACCACACGGCATGATTGACTTATAAAATATCTTAAAATCTTCAAAACATTCGTTACCTTCTAGCTTATTATTTCACGAATAATAATAATAATAATTCGTGAGCAATAATAAGTTGATGTACGTTTAAATATTTCAATACGCGCGCATATTTGATCTGACACGACGATGTGACATTTGAAACATTTTATTGGCTGGAACGTGACACACATCCACTCAAACTGACGACAACTCCCGATATATCAATCTCCTTCTTTCCAACTTTATACATTTCAACTCGTCTGCTCTTCATTGGCTCAGTCACAGTCTCCGAATTTGAGACTAATTCGTGAAAGTGATAACATTTTGCTATATAATTACGGCCTATAAATGTTCCTTTAAAAACAATGTGATATAAATATTTTTTGCTATAAATGTATTATTATATATATTTATTACATTCATTCGTGCATATATATATATATATATACAAATATACATACATATATATATATATATATACATGTATATATATACATATACATATTCGTATATACATATTTATATATTCCAATATATATATATATATTCCAATATATATATATATATATATATATATATATATATATTCCAATATATATATATATATATATATATATATATTTCAATATGTATATATATATATATATATATGAAAATTTATTTTACGGATGCATGTAACAAAGTTGTCTGGCTCCCTACCATCATGTCATTAGCGATGTTATGTTATTTTTTACATTTGTATGAAATTTTTGTAAATAAAAATACTTTGATTTACAAACATTTTAAATGCTCCACTGCGTCGTAATTCTTGTAAAAGTTTTTTCTTATCTAGTTTTTCCCCAATTTTGAATGTAAATTTATTGAAAAGTTGATCTTGGTCTGTTTTTAATTTTATGTTCAATCATTTTTCGTTTTTTGTAAATTTTCCATTGTTATAGTCATCTTCAAAAATGTTTCAGCTCCCATTGTAGCAAACTATCTGGACTTTTCTTTCTTCTCGTCCTCTCCAGTTATGAAATTATTTTTAGAACAGTCCATTTCCACTTCAATATGTTGCTGGTGACTGGTTTATATTCACGAATGTATATTTTCAGTTATCCTAAATATTTAATGTCCGAATGAGACCGATTCTTCATCTCAGTATGTCTGCTGGACGCTCCGATCTAAGCTTAATATGTTGGTGTGGTCTATGGCTGGTGATGAAGACATTCAGCTGTTCAGTTCTTTTTAACAAGGCTTTTCATATATTTCTAACGAGATACAATCATCCTTGCTGATGATGCCAAGTATTTATTTATATGATTTTTTTTGAAAGCTGTTGCACGCTGAAATAACAAGCCTCTCTTCATTCAATCACTCAATCTTCTCAATCTTCTTGCCAGATATGCTTACCACATATACTGATTCAGTTGAACTGTTCACTACAGCGTAAGTTGCTGGATCCAATCGAGTTCTCTACTTCACTTCATCATAAGATAGAGACAGACGCAGACAGTGCCTATGACTAAAATAGTTTCTGAATACCGTCCAATTATATTTTAACCAGATGTCATTAGATTTTTACAAAATTAATTTTCTGTTTCATGCATGTAATTAAATTTTATTTTATTCTATATCAGTTGTATTTTTTAGCGTTGAAAATAAAAAAAAAACCATTGAAAGCACGTTTCTTACATCAAATAAGAAAACCAACAACATCAACAAACAACAAGTAACAACGTTAACATCAATCAAGCAACAACATCAAACTGTTAACAAAAACAACAATAACAACAACAACAATAACAACAACAACCACCACCACAACAACAGTGAGCTGTTAACAAATGAGAAATTTCATTAAAAATGTAAAAGTTTCAGCCCCAATGAAGGAAAACTCACCATGGACGTAAAAAATATTGCCTTACAATCAAAACTACAACGTGTGCAGACTGAATTGAAATGAAATTTTTCAACAAAAAAATAACAACCAAAAATTACTCGGCAGTTGACAAGTCACACGACAAATGTTAAAATTTTATGACTTTAAAAAATATCAAATTAGTTTTTCGGAAGGGAGAGTGCATGTAGTCAATGGCAAAGTTACGAAAAATTTTTTTTTCAATGGCATGCTTTCATATGCAGGAAACTCTTTAAGATAACTCCTAATGTATGTACATGGGCACACATTACTCTTTAATGACAAAATGCATTCTAGTCATAAAAGGTATGTGTGAATAAAATTATCTTTAAGCCCGCATATGTGCAAGTTAATGTTAAAGATAACAAAATGCAACGAACAAGTTTGCAAAACTAACAAAACAAAATCTCAACAAACAACAACAACAAAAAATCCGGCCGACCACAGTTCAGCCATCTTAAAAAGAAGCAGATGTGTGAGTCGGGACCCTACAGCAAGGCTCCCATCACAGACTCCTGGCCTTCAAATTGCC